CCTACCACTGTCGGGTCACGGGTCTCGGAGCCACCCAGACGGATCCTCAGGTACCTTTGCAGATTCCTAGGAATACATCTGTGCTGTCCTCTGTGCCTGACTCCCATGGACAGCCAGCAGGAGGCGCTAGAGGACTGTAGGGATCCAGGGCGTGGCTGGGAGGAGGCCGGGAGGTGTCTCTGAGCTAAGACCCTGACAGCCGCTCTGGGTGAGCGCAGTACCCCCCCACCCCGTGCTGAGGGCGGATTCTCCTAGAGCCCAGGTCTGGACTTTATCCTATGGGGCCTTAGGGAGCTATGGTGGGTGTTAGAGCAGGAGACGGACCAGGGCTGAGGAGGCACCTAGGGGGCAGGTTTGAGGCTCTAAGTCACCAAGGAAAACCAGAGTGGCACTACACTCCCACCACCCCGACCTCAGTTCTCATCTCCTAATACACCCAGTTTTTTTTTTTCTCTCACCTTAGGGTTCTTCATTGTTTTCATAGTTCTTAAATGACTGTGCTTATTAAACAATACTAAGCCTGGTTGTCTTACAGTGTGTCCGATCATTGAGTGTATCTGTATCTATTATAACACCTGTCATTTTTGTCATGGGGTCAGTGTTTGCTTATCTTTACTTGGTATTGGATGACATATTTGCATATTTGAAATAATATTCATAGGATTTAAGGAAGGCAGTGCCTTCTCTCTTTCTCTCTCTCTCTCTCTCTCTCTCTCTCTCTCTCTCTCTCTCTTCCCTCTCTCTCTCCCCCCCCTCCCCAGAGTCTCACCCTGTCACTCAGGCTGGAGTGCAGTGGCATGATGTTGGCTCACTGCAACCTCCACCTCACGGGTTCAAGCGATTCCTCTGCCTCAGCCTCCCAAGTAGCTGGGATTACAGGTGCTCACCACCACACTTGGCTAATTTTTTATTTTTAGTAGAGACAGGGTTTCACCATGATGGCCAGGCTGGTCTCGAACTCCCAACCTCAAGTGATCAGCCCACCTCGGCCTCTGAAAGTGCTGTATTACAGGCGTAAGCCACAGCGCCTGGCCAGAAGAAGTCAGCTTTCTCTAGGGAGGAGTCTTTGGAGGACTGCTGGTTGAGGTTTATGCTTAATGATGCTCTAGGCTCGTGCTGGACAAGGTCTCCTGGGCAGTTTAAATTTAAGTTGAAATCATACTTGCAGACTGTTTTGCTTTATTTTCCTCTCACCCTGAGAGATGTAGTCTTTTGAAGGCTCCACATATGCAAGGAGGGGCTTTTTTTTTTTTTTTTTTTTACCATTTTCCCTTTTCGTATCATTCCTAGGCATAGAGTTTTTGGTTTTTTCCCCCTGCAATCACAAAACCATTAAAACAGAGTTTCACATTTTCCTGATTTGAGAAGTGCCTTCAGAGAGAAGGTATAATTTATGTCATTTTATCTCTAGTTTTCTATTTTTATTTGAATGGCATTGTGTGATTTTTTTCACTGTCTTTTCTTTTTTCTTTTTCTTTCTTTTTTTTTTTTGAGATGGAGTGCAGTGGTGCGATCTCGGCTCACTACAACCTCTGACTCCCTGGTTCAAGCTATTCTCCTGCCTCAGCCTCCCAGGTAGCCAGGATTACAGGATGCACCACCACGCCCAGCTAATTTTTGTATTTTTAGTATAGATGGGGTTTCACTGCATTGGCCAGGATGGTCTCGATCTCCTGACCTCATGATCTGCCCACCTTGGCCTCCCAAAGTGCTGGGATTACAGGTGTGAGCCACCGCACTGGACCAATTTTTGTATTTTTAATAGAGATGAGTTTTTGCCATGTTGACCAGGCTGGTCTTGAACTCCTGACCTCATGCCATCAGCCTGTCTCAACCTCCCAAAGTGCTAGGATTACAGGTGTGACCCCTCCCGAATGGCCATGAGCATTTACAATTCTTATCTCCCTTAAATCTTCAGCAAGATGTAAGGCTTGCTGAAGTGGGATCAGAATGTAAATGGAGAATGTAGCCTGTAGATAGGTCTGTACGAGAAAGGATATGAACGACCCCAAGGTGTTGTGAGAGTGACGGAAAAATAAAAATAGCTGCCACGAGAAGCAGGGCACTTGGAGGTCGATGAAATGATGAAAAAGGTTTTTAAGGAAGGTTAGCAGCATAATCTCCTTGGTAACCCCGAGAGACCTTCAGCAAAGCCCTATGTTACTTTTCAAGGCTTTTTAGCATTGGATCTGAGGTTTTTGCAACAATGCTTGGTTTTCTCTAGGTTGCAAAGAATACTGTGATTCCCTTCCTGCCAATGTATTTGTACGAGTCCTCACTTGTTGCCTTGGGGTGCATAGAGCAATGGTTCTCAATCTTGAACGTGCTTCAGGGTCTCCTGGTGGGCTTGTTAAGACACACAAAGCTGGCCGGCGTGGTGGCTCACACCTGTAATCCCAGCAGTTTGGGAGGCTGAAGTGGGGGAATTGCTTGAGACCAGGAGTTCAAGACCAGTCTGGCCAACAAGGTGAGACCACCCCTCCTGCCCCCACCCCAATCTAAAAAAAAAAAATTCTGGGCATGGTGGCATGCACCCATAGTCTCAGCTGCTCGGAAGGCTGAGCTGGGAGGATCCCTCAAGTCTGTGAGCTCCAGACCAGCCTGTGCAACATAGTGAGACCCCTATCTCTACAAAATAAAATATTAGCTGGGCATGGTGGCATACATCTGTTAGTCCTAGCTACTTGGGAGGCCAAGGCAGGAGGGTCACTTGAGCCCAGGTGTGGGAGACCATCTTGGGCAACGTAGAGAGACCCCTGACTCTACAAAAATAAAATTAGCCAGGCACAGTAGTATGTGCCTGTCATCCCAGATACTCGAGATGCTGAGGTGGGAGGGTCACTTGAGCTTGGGAGGTCGAGGCTCCAATGAACTATGATCATGCCACTGCACTTTAGGCTGGGCAACAGAGCAAGACCCTGTCTCAAAAATGAAAGCAAAAAACAAAACAAAACTCCCTCCAAACCCATAGGACACAAAAAGCTAAGCCCTTTCTCTGAAGTGTCTGGTGTAAGAACCAGCATGCAGATAGGTCTGTACAAGAAAGGATATGAATGACCCCAAGGTCACTTCTAGACAGTTCCCAGAGGATGCTGGTGCTTCTAGCCCAGGGACCACAGCTGGGGAGCTGCTGCATTGGAGAAATCTGTTTTTCAAGACCTCTCCTATCTGTGAAATGTCTTGCAACTGGAGACCCTCAGTAGTTTTCCTCCACATGTCCTGCCACAGAGGGTCTGCCTTCTGTGTGCCTTGTCCACTCAGAGAGTCTAGAATTGGTCTCAGTCTCTTCTCTCTCTCTCTCTCTTTTGGCATCCAAGAAGGAGACAGATTCCTCTCTTCCACCCCTCCATCCCTACCCCCAGCTCAATCCCTTCCCCATCCCTCATTTGCTTACCAGGATGGCATCACCAAGGGGAGGATCTCAGGAAGCCTTCTTCTCCACCAACTGCTAGAGGATCCTGAGGTCAGCAGTAAACCCCCAGGAAGGGCATGAAAGGCTACTCACCTGTGATCACTGGGGTGATCCCGATGTCTATGGGAAGGACTCATATGTGTGTCCCCCTAAGACTGGGAAGGTGAGTGGGGGGCCAGGGGCACAGCAGGATATTTATATTCTGGGGACTCTAGGAGACTTCATCCCCATAGCTTCTTGTTAAGGAAGAGGATGCTAATTATTTTGTTTCTCCTCTTTGCCACATGAGACCTGTTCTTTTGGACATGGGTGTGTGTTGGGATCATGGGGTGGGTAAGAAGAGGAAACAGTCTCCAGGGATTCACTCTCACTAGGACATCTCTCTAGGGTCTCCTCCCAGCTCAGACTGAGCTTCATGGAAGCAGGGAGGTCTGGGAGGTCCCTGCCTTCAGCAGTGCACTCAGATTCCTCAAGCTGAGAGGTCCTTTCATTCAGTGCATCATGGAAGAAACTGGTTCATTAAGGAAAGCTCCAGAAAACTATCGAACTATCAATAAATATACATTGAATAAATACGTTTATCAAACACTTTTGAGATGGAGTTTCACTCTTGTTGCCCAGGCTGGAGTGCAATGGTGCAATCTCGGCTCACTGCAACCTCCACACACTGGGTTCAAGTGATTTTCCTGCCTCAGCCTCCCAAGTAGCTGGGATTACAGCCATGTGCCAGCATGCCCGGCTAATTTTGTATTTTTAATAGAGACAGGGTTTCTCCATGTCGATCAGGTTGGTCTTGAACTCCTGACCTCAGGTGTTCTGCCTGCCTCAGCCTCCCAAAGTGCTGGGATTACAGGCATGAGCCACTGCACCCTGCCTTTGCCTTTTTTTTTTTTTTTTTTTTTTTTTTTTGAGTTTGAGTCTCACTCCGTCACCAAGGCTGTAGTGCAGTGGTGCAGTCTTGGCTCACTGCAACCTCCACCTCTCAGGTTCAAGTGATTCTCCCACCTCAGCCTTCTGTGTAGCTGGGATTACAGGCGCCCACCACCATGCCCAGCTAATCTTTGTATTTTCAGTAGAGACGGGGTTTCACCATGTTGGCCAGCCTGGTCTCAAACTCCTGACCGCAAGTGACTGCCTTCCTCAGCCTCCCAAAGTGTTTGGATTGCAGGCGCGAGCCATTGCGCCTGGCCCATAAATCATTTTTTAAAAATAGTTTTTTAATTTAAAACATAGTTTTGTACATTAAAAAAAAAAGTTTTGCACAGGTTGACACAAAGTGTCTGGAGGTGGTGGTGGGAAGATCAGGTCCTAGGAGGGTGGCTCAGGTGCCCCAAGCCTTGGCCAGGGGTGATTTGGATTGTGTCAGAAATATCAAGTGCTAATGACGAAAAAGGGAAAAAGGATGGCAACCCAGCCATCCACAGTGGGATCCATGCTACCTGTTCCTGGCAACGGCTCCCCTAACTCCCTCCTGCCCGGGCCGGCCCCTCAGCCCGGGTCCCGCCCTTCATGCAAGCGACCGAGCCAATGGGGCGCGGCGGCTGCTGAGGTGGAGGCTGAAGCAGGTGAAAGGAGGCGGTGGCTGCGGAGGGGCGGGATGGCAGGGCCGGTACTCCTGAGAGTGTCGGTGCAGCGATGGGAACGGGTGGCCGGGTACCCGTGTACGCCGCCGGGATCCTGCTCTCCATCTGCGCCTACCACGTGGAGCGGGAGAAGGAACGGGAGGGACCCCGAGCACCAGACCTTCTGCGACCTGGGGCCCTGGGTGAAGTGCTTCGCCGCCCTTGCCTCCAGGTAGCCATTGGGGCGAGAGCGGAGGCCTGGGGAGGGGAGCGCGTGGCGGGAGCTCGGGCCTGGGCCGGCGGGGAACGGGCTGCGAGGGAACGGAAAGGGTCGCGGTCGGGGCCGGGGCCAGGGTCGGGGCCGGGGCCAGGTTCAGGGCCAGGGCCAGGCGGGGGGCGGCTTGGCGCTCTTGCCTAGGGGCGGCCCGAGCTCAGGCAGCGCGGCGGAGGTGGCGGGGCCGCGAGGCCGCCAGGGCGGGATGAGGTGATAGAGTGCAGCTGGGAGGCCCCGGCGGTCGGGGCGGTCGGGGTGGTCGGGCGGGGGCTGCGCTGGGCGGGGGCTGCGCTGGGCTGGAGCGCGGGGGTCTGAGGAGGGCGGGTTCCGGCCAGCCTGACAGGTTTCCTGGTTCTCGGGAGGCGGGTCGGGGGTGTGGGACCCTGTCCGCCGCACCCGCGAGGCCACCTCTTGTCCCCTCATCCCTGCAGCCGAAGCTTTGGGGCCGGCGCGGACTCAGGAGTCTTGCGTTTCCCATTGTCTTCCTGGTGCTAGGACAGGTGTTTCCGTGGTCAGGCCTCTTTGTACTCCAACGCTAGTGAGAATTTGCAGACTTAATGGGACGGTGACATTTGCGGGCAAACACGAGTTTGACTCTACTCTGGAAGAAGATACCGGCACTTAACATATCTGATATCTTGGATTTCCCCTCGTATATTTCAGTGTGCCAGGAGAGGGAAATGGTCTGAGTTTCGGTCTGAGTTTAAGCCTCATTGGAGTAAAGGACCAGTATGTTATGTGTATGGTGGTGGTTTAGGCATTGGGATGCCTTTTTTTTTTTTTTTTTTTTTTTTGAGACGCAGTTTCGCTCTTGTTACCCAGGCTGGAGTGCAATGGCGCGATCTCGGCTCACCGCAATCTCCGCCTCCTGGGTTCAGGCAATTCTGCCTCAGCCTCCTGAGTAGCTGGGATTACAGGCACGCGCCACCATGCCCAGCTAATTTTTTGTATTTTTTTTTAAGTAGAGACGGGGTTTCACCATGTTGACCAGGATGGTCTCGATCTCTTGACCTCGTGATCCACCCGCCTCGGCCTCCCAAAGTGCTGGGATTACAGGTGTGAGCCACCGCGCCCTGCTGGGATGCCTTTTAAACGTTGTTATTAGTATAATAGGATAGATACCCAAAACAGATTAGAAACACACGCTTTGCTAAACTTGAGCGATTGGTTTGTGTTACTGGTCGTTTTAGGTTTTTTTTTTTTTTTTTTTTTTTTTATGTTGTAATTGGTTTGTCCTTTACGTTTTATTTTAACGCATTAAATTTTCCTAGGAGAGTTACTTTGGAAAGGGGAGGAATTTACATTTTAAAGGTGGCTGCTGTTTTTTGTTTTTGTTTTTCTTTTTTGGGGGGGATTAGAAACATAACAGCAGTTGAAGGAATGATTTCAGAGTGGATAGATTACGATTTTAATAGAGACTGTGTCTAATATTCAGACCTTTGTTAACATGTTTGTTAACAGTAGTCACATTTGAGTTCACTAGTTTATTTCGACTCACGTATTGTTGATTACATGAACAAGTTAGCACTGGCGTTTGTCTTGTTATTGGTTACAAGCTGCAGGGTGCGGATCTTTCCACTTAGCCTTCTCATGGACGAGATACTCTATCTCATTTGCTCTTAAACCAAAATCCTGTAGCTTTTTACAGGGGAAATAATTATCACATGGCCAAGTAAAACATTTTGAACATGCATTTAAAATGTAGGAATTAGTTTACAGGGGAAAATACATAGATGTGACAAAAAGCTCACATTTGTTGTTGGTGGTTATTCCAAACCAAGGTAATAGGCCGATTAGACCCTCAGATACCGTTTGAGAAACATTGAGTGTCTTTTATGCAAAATTTTTATGTTATTTTCACTTTGGGAAAGGACTTTTAATCTCCTAAGTACCTTCCACCTGAAGTTAGTTAATTGAATAAATTAGGAATAAATTCAATAAATAAGGAAAACATGCAGCAGCACATTTCAAGTATTTAAGAACTGAGAAGAACTAAAAATAACTTGATCCTAGGTTAATATGGAATTTAAGCAGAATTATTACCAATTTTAGATTTTTTTAATTGCATTTTAGGTTTTGGGGTACATGTGAAGAACATGCAAGATTGTTGCATAGGTACACACATGGCAGTGTGATGTGCTACCTTCCTCCCCATCACCTATATCTGGCATTTCTCCCCATGCTGTCTCTCCCCAACTTCCCACCTCCCGCTGTCCCTCCCTTATTTACCCCCTACAGACCCCAGTGTATGAGGCTCCCCTCTCTGTGACTATGTGTTCTCATTGTTCAACACCCACCTATGAGTGAGAACATGTGGTGTTTGATATTCTGTTCTCATGTCAGTTTGCTGAGAATGATGGTCTCCAGGTCATCCTTGTCCCTACAAAGGACACGAACTCATCGTTTTTGATGGCTGCATAGTATTCCATGGTGTATATGTGCCACATTTTCCCTGTCCAGTCTATCATCGATGGGCATTTGGGTTGGTTCCAGGTCTTTGCTATTGTAAACAGTGCTGCAATGAACATTCGTGTGCATGTGTCCTTATAGTAGAACGATTTATAGTCCTTTGGATATATACCCAGTAATGGGATTGCTGGGACAAATGGAATTTCTATTTCTAGGTCCTTGTGGAATTGCCACACTGTCTTCCACAATGGTTGAACTAATTTACACTCCCACCAACAGTGTAAAAGTGTTCCTATTTCTCCACATCCTCTCCAGCATCTGTTGTCTCCATATTTTTTAATGATCGCCATCTGACTGGCGTAAGATGGTATCTCAATGTAGTTTTGATTTGCATTTCTTTAATGACCAGTGATGATGAACATTTTTTCATATGTATGTTGGCCTCCTGTATGTCTTCTTTTGTAAAGTGTCTGTTGATGTCCTTTGCCCACTTTTGAATGGGCTTGTTTGTTTTTTTCTTGTAAATCTGTTTTAGTTCTTTGTAGATTCTGGATATCAGCCCTTTGTCAGGTGGGTAGGTTGCAAAAATTTTTTCCCATTCTGCTGGTTGCCAATTCACACTAATGACTGTTTCTTTTGCTGTGCAGAAGCTGTGGAGTTTGATTAAGTCCCATTTGTCTATTTTGGCTTTCGTTGCCAATGCTTTTGGTGTTTTGGTCATGAAGTCCTTGCCTATGCCTATGTCCTGAATGGTTTTGCCTAGGTTTTTTTCTAGGGTTTTTATTGTGCTAGGTCTTATGTTTAAGTCTTTAATCCATCTGGAGTTGATTTTAGTGTAAGGTGTCAGGAAGGGGTCCAGTTTCTACTTTCTGCACATGGCTAGCCAGTTTTCCCAACACCATTTGTTAAACAGGGAATCCTTTCCCTATTGCTTGTTTTTGTCAGGTTTGTCAAAGATTGGATGGTTGTAGATGTGTGGTGTTGCCTCTGAGGCCTCACTTCTGTTCCATTGGTCTATATCTCTGTTTTGGTACCAGTATCATGCTGTTTTGATTACTTTTGGTTCCATATGAAGTTTAAGGATTTTTTTCTGTTCTGTGAAGAAGGTCATTGGTAGCTTGATGGGGATAGCGTTGAATCTATAAATTGCTTTGGGCAGTATGGCCATTTTCACGATATTGATTCTTCCTAACCATGAACATGGAATGTTTCTCCATCTGTTTGTGTCCTCTCAGTGTTTTGTAGTTTTCCTTGAAGAGGTCCTTTACATCCTTTGTTAGTTGTATTCCCAGGTATTTTATTCTCTTTGTAGCAATTGTGAATGGCAGTTCGTTCTTGATGTGGCTCTCTTTAAGTCTGTTATTGGTGTATAGGAATGCTTGTGATTTTTGCACATTGATTTTATATCCTGAGACTTTGCTGAAGTTGCTTATCACTTTCAGGAGATTTTGGGCTGAGACGATGGGGTCTTCTAGATATACAATCATGTCATCTGCAAATAGAGACAATTTGACTTCCTCCTTTCCTATTTGAATACCCTTTAGTTCTTTTTCTTGCCTGATTGCTCTGGCTAGAACTTCCAATAATATATTGAATAGGAGTGGTGAGAGAGGGCATCCTTGTCTAGTGCCAGATTTCAAAGGGAATGCTTCCAGTTTTTGCCCATTTAGTATGATATTGGCTCTTGGTTTGTCGTAAATAGCTTTTATTATTTTGAGATACATTCCGTCAATACCTAGTTTATTGAGGGTTTTTTGCATAAAGGGCTGTTGAATTTTGTCAAAGTCCTTCTCTGCATCAGTTGAGATAATCATGTGGTTTTTGTCTTTGGTTCTGTTTATGTGGTAAATTACATTTATAGACTTGCATATGTTGAACCAGCCTTGCATCTCCGGGATGAATCCTACTTGATGATGGTGGATAAGCTTTTTGATTTGCTGTTGCAATTGGTTTGCCAGTATTTTATTGAAGATTTTTGCATCTAAGTTCATTATGGATATTGGCCTGAAGTTTTCTTTTCTTGCTGAGTCTCTGCCGGGTTTTGGTATCAGGATGATGTTGGTCTCATAAAATGATCTGGGAAGGATTCCCTCTTTTTGGATTGTTTGGAATAGTTTCAGAAGCAATGGTACCAGCTCCTCTTGGTATGTCTGGTAGAATTCGGCTGTGAACCTGTCTGGACCTGGGCTTTTTTTGGGTGGTAGGCTCTTAATTGCTGCGTCAACTTCAGACCTTGTTATTGGTCTATTCAGGGTTTCACCTTCTTCCTGGTTTAGTCTTGGGAGGATGCAAGTGTCCAGGAATTTATCCATTTCTTCCAGGTGTACTAGTTTATGTGCATAGAGATGTTTGTAATGATCTCTGATGATGGTTTGTATTTCTGTGGAATCTGTGGTGATATCCCCTTTATCTTTTTATTGCATCTATTTGATTATTCTCTCTTTTCTTTTTTATTAATCTGGCTAGTGGTCTATTTTGTTGATCTTTTCGCAAAACCAGCTCCTGGATTTATTGATTTTTTTTGAAGGGGTTTTTGTGTCTCTATCTCT